GGAAATTCGCTGTAGCTCAAAAGAGCCCTTGAGGGTCAGGAAGGAAAGGATTTAATATTTTTCAGAGGAGTGACATATTGGCCTGATGCTTCAGTGAAATATTCTTGGAAGAAAAAAATTTCCATCACACTTCAACAAATGTAAATGTTTAAACTGTGAACTTAGTCTTCAGTTGTCTCCAAGCCTGTTACCATATGTCTTTCCTTTTTGAGTGTACTTAACATTAAAATAACATGCTTGTACTCCTCAAATAACCCATCTGCTGTTCCCTACTTCTGCTACTTTAAAAGCTTGTCAGCTGCTATCCATTCCAGTTCAATTTTGAGCATAAAATTAGCAGTTAATATTTATTATTTATTTTGCCTAATTACACTAATTTCAGGCACTATACTCATCTTTAAGTGCCCCAACACTTGAAATAAGGGAACCCCAAATAGCTAAGATTAAGAAAACAATATCACAAGTATTTCATTAAGAAATCTAACTCTGTCTCCCTTGACTGAGAATCTACTTTTGACTAACCATGAAGTAGAAACAGATAGAAGTATTGTTTCAAGATTTCATATAATTCAAAAGGCCACTAAGATACAGATTCCTCATAATAAGCAGATAAAAAGACAGGAAAGAGTCATGGAAAGGAGTTTATAAATAAAGCACCTCAGGTAATTGCACATACAATTGTACTACATATATTGCACAAGATACACAAGCCCAAGATGAACCAATGCAACACAATGACCATTGAATACATCTTCATGCTGTAGTGCACACCTCTGGGACTGCTTATACATTCAGAGTAGGCAAACACTGGAGTCAAATAAATAGAATTCAAGGAAAACCCAAGCAGCTAAGACCTCAAGCCGCCCTCACAGTTAAGTACTCTAGTAATTTAGGATATATTGTGGCTCCTACCTGCCTACTCTCTTTGCATTCAGCATGTATCACAGAATCATAGAATTTTTGGATTGGAAGGGAGCTTCAAAGGTCATGTAGTCCAACCCCCCTGCAGTAAGCAGGGACATTTTCAACTACAGCAGGTTGCTCAGAGCCCCGTCCAGCCTGACCTTGAATGTTGCCAGGGATGGGGCATCTACCACCCTTCTGGGCAACCTGTGCCAGTGTTTCACCACCCTCATTCTGAAAAATTTATTCCTTCTATCTGGTCAAAATCTGTCCTCTTCTAGTTTAAAACCATTACCCCTTCTCCTATCGCTACAGGCCCTGCTAAAAAGTCTGTCCCCATCTTTCTTAGAAGCCCCCTTTAAGTACTGGAAGGCTGCAGTAAGGTGTCCCCAGACCTCTCTCTTCTCCAGGCTGAACAACCCCAACTCTCTCAGCCTGTCCTCACAGGAGAGGTGTTCCATCCCTCTGAGGTGTTCAATGTCCCTGTTTCTGTTTCAAATGCAGAAGGACCTGACTGAGATTGACTTTTCAGATGTTTTTTGGTGCTGGCACCTTACTTCCACCCATCTCACCAGAGCAGGGCATTCATAATCTTTGCAGTAATCTTAATCTGTTCAGTAATCTTTTGTCTAGAGATCTTTTTGTCTGTGGATCAAAGCACTCTCAGATTTCAGGAGGCTTCAGAGGTTAGCTAACATGTAAGAGTAGATTGATAGTATTCCTCTGATGAACACAGGTAACTTGTTTATAAGTAGAGTGGTTACAACCCAGTATTTTACGCTTACAAAAAGTTTGAAATGATAGTGTTATAGATATCCAGCAAATATTTTGCATTTTTATTATTTCTGGAAAACATTACTACATACCTATTTCACTTTTAGAGGTTTCTTAGATTTTCACCAATAGTTTTTCACTATACCCCTTAAGGTCTCGGAGCAGACTGCACATTTATGCTGCCAATATAATGAACGAAGGAAGAACAATCAACTCTGTATTCAAAGAAAAAGCTATACCTTGTTGCTAACAGCACAATGCGATGTTTGCTCATTCCTTCCACTCCTTTAGATAATGATGGGATGGAAGCGTCTGGCTCTGAGGAATTTCTTTCTGCTTACTGACGTAGAGGTGCATGGGGCAAAATCTTTATCTGATTGGCCACGTTTGTTCAGCAACTTTCTAGCTTTATAGTGCAGGAAGGTTAACGCTAATTTAAGATATGAAGGTATGCTTGCTATATGCCTCAAATATTGAACATGAATTCTAGGAATGCATCAGGTTTTCAAAGATTAAAAACTGACGGGCAACATATTTACTAATTGACTACAACAGAAGAGTGCTGGAAAGTATCCACTTCTCAACATGACTCACAGTATACTCTATGACTTCCTTGCAACCTCTGGCATTTTACAAAGATGTAATATTATAAACTTCTGAAAATTTAGATTCTTTTCAAAGAAAAGCAAAACAAAAAGAACATACAGCTGTGAACAGGGCAGGACAGCACTCAGTGCAGCAATGCAATTACAGCATCCAGAGGTATGCGGGTATGTGGATAAGAATAACAATAAAAGAAATAACATAAATCACAAGTCCTATGTTTTACTTTAATATTTTCCAAGTACAGAGATTTAGTACGCTGCAAACTGACCAAAGTATCATTTTGCATAAGCCTGAGGTAATGGATTCATTATAACAGAAATACAGAGAATACCATGAAAAGTCTTGTAATATTTAGCTTATTGGAATTGGAGACATAGCCAAAAGATAAAACATAAAACATGATTATATTTGAGGTGTTTATAAAAGCCAATAAAATATCATAAGTGAATAATCAAACGTTTCAGTATATCTAAAAATTAGCAAGCCTTAGAGGACACAAGAGGATGTCTTCCCAGTCTGCTAGGAAGTACCGTGAGATTGTACCATTTACAGAAGCTGCAGAATAAGAAAATAGAATCAACAATACACTAAATATTTGTGTTTTATATTTTTTATATACATGCACATATACATTGTCAACCATTTCAAAAGCACTGGATATAGTGCACAAGAGCAGATTTTAAACTTGAGGTTTTGCTGGTAAGTCCTTGCAAAAATAACCCAGCTACATGAAGGAATAAACCCAAATTTATAATATTGATCATATGTGTCTGGCTGGCTATCAGTATCAATTGCAGAGAGCATACAAGGAATCTCAATCATATCCTTGACTTCTCTGGGAACCAGAAGTAACCTGACAGCACTAAAAACAAGACCCTAAAAGACTGTCCAGATAGACATATAGCTGCGTTTCACCTTGGATTCTCCAGCAATTGTTGCCACATCTGATGGCAATTCCTACTGCCAAGATATTCCTCTCAAATTCCCTGATCTGTACCAGTAGGTTGTAACATAGTACACTGCATCACCAGGGTGTTTGTATTATACAGCAATTTAGAACCAGCATTATGACCCGTATGATTAATATACATACATACATTAATAGAAAGATGAGTACTTTTTAAAACAACTCAGGAAACATGCTTAACCACAAGATGCAATTATAAACAAGTATGGAAAGGCCATGAACCATATTTGAAAAACCAATAAATACTTCATGAATGCTCACGAGAGTAATTTTAAACATTTTATTGAATCGTCCTTTGTTCTCTTACTACAATGGGGAGAACTGCAGTTTCAGAAATACTTCTTCTAGACTATTACTATTCTGAGATATAGTAGCTTCTGCTTTGTCATATACCTTGCCACTAAGTGGCAGAAGATGAACCAAGAACAGGCAGAAGATGACAGATCGTGGTGCTTTGAACATTTTTGTTTTTAACAATAACAGGGTATAAAATTAGGCAGTTGATACTTCAAGTCTGAGGCAAATGAAAGATTCTAGGGGGCAGGTCATTAGAAGACAACACAACTAAAAACAAGAGTAATGAACCTGGCTCTGGTGGTCAAGAAGATGAAGAAGGATTTGTACTTAAGCAGTAAACCATGAAGTTGTTCCTGCACTCTTGAAAAATATAACTGTCATGAGATCAGCAGAATCCACAGTAATGTGAGCCACAGAAGTTCTGAGGATAGGTGCTATCAACAGAGGTCCTGGTCAGATTTATGAGGAAAAAGGTAACAGTACCTTATATAGACAGCCAAAAGGAGGCATGAAATATCAAGGAACAGAAAGTAAAAACACTATAATTTCTACTTTCAATCTAATAAATAACTAATAATTTTCTTAAAGAAATTGTATTTTTTGGTATGTTGATATAGTAATAATTTATCATACAGGCCAGTAATGTAAAAGTTAAGATTGAGATACTTCAAAAAATTGTCTAAATAAGCATTTAGAATATTTGTAAGACTATGGATTACAACCTTAGTCACTGTTGGTAAAGCATAGGAACAGAACACTGGAAGTGAATGGAAGCTGTCCCTGAGATGTTTCACTGTAAAGCGTTTCATTAGATTTTCATAACAAAATAAAAAAAACTTACAAAAGTACAAAATCGAAATATATATTAAGATATACTTAACAGGAAGAATAAACACAAAGAATGATTTCTTTCTTGCACAACAAGAGAACATCTACCAAACACCCTTCTTCCCTCTTCACTTGTTTAGTGAATCATCAGCAAACTTGAGATGACTGGTTATTACACAGGCAAAAGAGGATATTCTCTGTTATGATGTATTTTACAAAATAGATTCCATACAATATGCATAGAGTTATCTGTAGGATGGGGTAAATCTATCCTAGCTAATAGTAAAGTCCTGTTTATTCTTCTCAGAATATTGCATAAAAACAGAAGACAGAAAAATACTCTAAAGCATTCAACAGGGCGAAATTATCTAAATAAACAGTCTGTAGAAAAAACAAAAGATCAATTATCCAGCACTAGCCTCCCTTCCAAAACCAAATCCTTAATCAGTATTTAACAAGCCTTTAATAAAAAGCAGACTTGCATTAAACGGGCAGAGAGGAAGACTGTTGGAAAAAAAACTGAGACGAATCTTTAAATCCATTCCCTCTTGAAATGAAAGAGATGAGGATTTAAAAAAAATAAATATGAGAGAAAGTGTAGAAAGCAAACATGACATTCACTCACATAAAATTTTCTGGATATTCACTCAAGGCCATATCAATGATATTCAAAGCATCATGATAGTGTTTCTGGGCTGATAGCAAGAGAGCAAGGAGATGAAGAGAGTTGGCATCATCTCCTTGTAGTTGCAGAGCCTGACGAACATAACCCAAAGCTTCTGGTATCTGATTAAAAAAAAAAAGGCAGAAAAAGAAAGCACCACTATTAGAAGTATTGCTTATTACTTCATTGCACATCCATAAAACTTTCAAAATATTCACCTAGCTACCACATAGAATTCTATAGACTCCTGTAAGACACAACTCAGACGGACCTGATGCTCTACAGTGAACAGTAAAAATTAAATATGTTAACAATGGAAAATAAGATACAAGTTTTATTAAAACAGTTCCTTTCAGCCCTTTAAAATATTCACTTACAATTATTTTTCAAGTATTGGTTGTATTTCTATATGATTTTGAAAATATTTTAATTATAATATATTAACTAAAACATACAGCTAGACTGCAACAGTAACTTTTCACACGGAATTTCATGATGCCCTCAGCTGCATGTGCTTTTGCTCAAAATAAGAACACTAAGTGTTAAAAACAGGAAATTTAATCAAGCAACATGAGAAGTTTGGAATTCATAAGTACAGTCATAGTCTGCTACTGAAAAATCTTTTGTGCTTTTATAGAGACAATCCATGCCACTCTAATGTGACATAGTCCAATGTCTCTGCTACTCATGAGCAATGAAAAGTAGTCACCTAGAGCATGTAAACTACTGTGCTCAAAACTACTTCCTAAAATAAACTTGACACAGGAAAAGGCTTACCATGACATATACAAAGCAGCTCCACGTTATCCAAATTCATGTGATATATGGTAGAATCCTAAATCCCTTAAACATAACATAAGTTGGACTGAGGTCTGATCTCTCTTATAGCTTTAAAATATTTTCCAGTTTTCTTAAACACATTTGTGTAATTTTGTTCACAATAACCAAACCTCCTACAAGTATTCAGAAAAGGCATGGATCTTAGCAGATACTCAAGACTCAAAATCATTAAAGACTAGAGTCAAGATCATTAAAGACTAGAGCCAAGAGTTGCACTCTCCAGATAACTAGTCTGAGCAGAAATTACGCACAATAGGTAAAAACAGAGTAAAAATTTACTACTTTTTTTTCCTCTTTATCCAGCAACTTAAGTGTTGAAACAAATAAATTGAATGAATTATGTCTTATTTCTGATTCTCCAACTGGAAATACTGTAGCAGAACCCTGGAGAAGTGTACAAGACTGAAGGTGTTCGGGGAGAATATTTCAGGGGTTTTGTCCATACATATGCATACACGCACAAGGAAAACCAAGTTTTTATTGAAGAAATCTTCATCTGTATCCATCAATAGATACAAATTCTGATCTTCATATGACAGTCTAAGGCTGTACTTCTAAAACACAACTAACCTGTCTGGATATGGCAAGCTGCAGTGCCAAGTAAAATGCTGCCAGATGATCCGTTGGAGACAAACTGTGAGCCCTTAAAAACAAAGAAATAAAATAAAAAGCAATGAATTTTTCCCCTATTAATACAGGTTAGACATACCCACAAACGCACATATATTCATATTCAGATCTCTTCATGTATGCTCATATTTTGATGTAAGCGGTGTTCATCCCAGTGACTTCTCTCATACTTCTCGATTGTCCTTGATTTAAAGGAAGCACTTTAGGCCATTAAAGAGTCCTTGTTAATAGAAATTAATTATGTAATTTCGGTATAAATCTTTAAAATGAGCAATACAAAATGATTCTTCAATTAAAATATACTCCTAAACAAACACTAAATGTAATTATCTAAGAACAGTTATAATAAAAATTAATTAAGCAGAGTTTTCTTACAGAAAAAGGAAAAAAAAACCAAACCAAAACAAAAAATCCCACAAAACAATATGCCTTCAAAGACAAGAATTATGTCATCTGCATGAGAAATACCCAAGCAATCGCATCGATCCTGATCAGGATGGTTCTGAAGCACAGAACTCAAAGAAGAAGAGCGGCAGCAAAGTAGATCAGACTTTTGTTCATTCTTCAGAGTCTCAAAGTTTAAGCACATTTTTCAGTCCAGCATACTAAGTCTCCTAGGAAGCCAATTACTTCTTGGCTTTGAGTTGCTTTGAGATTAAGTTAGCAGATCACCTTGCTATGTAGCAATGTAAAAGAAATCTAGGCTGGCCAGCTGCTTTAACATAGCATTACAGTAAAAGGCAGCGTAAGATCTGACTCATCATGACCTATGTTTGAAGTTCAGATGAAGTTTATGCTGATGATCTTTTTATAAATATAACTTTTGTCCACAAAAATGCTGAGTTGCCCAAGAGCAGCAGTGTTTTGTGATTGTTCACTCTCAAAATATTTGTAACTATTTCTGTTGCAAGCAACCCCAATTACTAAAACAAAGAAAAAACTTTTTTCCACCTTTTTTTGAAATATTTTTTTGCTTGTTTTTAATGTTTTGGTCAAATACACACACTTTGTCTTATTCATTTTGACACTTACCCTACAGAAGATGTTCTTGTAATTCAAGAACAATACAACAATTTTCCCTGTGACACAATCTTTCTGCCGCAAGATAAAGCTTGGTGGGGAGCGGGGGGGGGATGCTTGAACATAAAGATGAAAAAAATTTATGGCTGTACCCCAAAATGATGTGTAGTAAATACTGGGCAGCAAGCCTGGAACTATATTTTTAATTTCTATTTGTTGCATTCTTTTAATGGAGGGTCATTTAGAAATAGCACATGTAATAATCATCCTCAGAACATCTAATGAGTTGTCTCCATTGTGAGGGAGGAACAAAATTGACTTTTAAGCTATTACAACCACAAAGGGAAACTTCTGCTTCCAATTTGTGCATTTCTGTCTTCCCAATTCCAAAGAGACAGCTTCAGCAGTTTAGGAAGTACACCCAACACGTATCAAAGTAGTTTAAGTTATTAGGGGACAGTTTCATGTTTTGTTAAATTTACCTCTAAATTGAATATTAGAGTCACATATAAAGCCTAACAGGGTCCAGGATCAGTACTTTTTAAAATTTAAGTTCACAGATTAATCAAGACTAAGTGAGAACAAGAGATTTTAACTTGGAAAGTACTTATTAAATCACCCAAGCTTCAGCTAGTGAAAGAATAAAGCTGTTACTATCAACCATTTGATGAGTTCTGTGAAACTTCAATTCACACCAACCACAGGGAAAGCACTGAAAGTCTTTTACAAAATAAACAAAAAAGTTAGTGAAACAAACACTCCCTCAGCACTGCTCAAAGATGGCAACAAGCATCTTCTCAAACGGCCACTATCACAAACTGGTAGCTTTGAAATCTGGCAGAGGCAAGGGTCCAAAACATAACTATTTCTTCAGGACCTCTATTTCTTCAGGAACTGATCCTCTAGGTAAATGATTAAAAAAACCCCACAAAAAAAACCCCAACCAAAACAACAACAAAAAAAACCTTGGCAGATCAAAATACTGAGGTCAGTATAGCTGCTTGTTTTATAAATTGTATAGGAGATCAATGGAGCACTTCAACTGCCATCTCCTGGAAAACATTTATTTTTAAGATGTGGGAAGAGAAAGTGGGCATGACTCTGGTATGCTGAGCTCCACAGTAACATCCTATACCTATGTTATCAACACAAGGAACCAGCAACATTTTCAACCACATTGAATTGTATTTCCAGTACAGATGATCCATCAGGTGTGAGTCTCTCTATGAACACAAGTGGGGAATGTTAATTTGCAGAACAATCACCTTTCAAAACATACTTTTTCTTCTCTTAGAAGGTAGCTATGGGATTTTTGAGATCCAGAAACTCTGTTCTTTTCAAGGGCCAAACCATACTATTCAAGATGTGGAATCTGAGCTACTCATATCAGCAATAACACTAACAGCAATATCAGCAATTCACTAGAGTTTTCAAAATATATACCCTGCACATTACTAAAACCTCTGAAAGATACTTTAATTAAAAGCCTACATACAAGTTCATTCTGAGAAAGGCCAGCAGAAAGGATGAACATATAACAACATCAGTACCCTGCAACATATACTTAAAGATACAAAACACTATTTCTAGGAGGTTGTATCAACTGGAAAAAGAAAACAACAAAGAAAAACCCAAAGCATCAGAAAGATGCATAGAAATCAGATGCAATTAATCCTCATGTTCCCAGGACTTTCTGTGTATAAATTTATATTCTGCTAGCTAGCACAAATATTTCAAAGCTCCAGATCACTACAAAACTGAAGTTCCACTCAAGCTATATAGTTAAAGGACATCTGTAATGATTCACTGAAGAGATGCTAGATATGTTTGCAGATTTCAAATAGCACTATTTGCTGCTAGGAAGTCTTCGAAACTCAACAGTTAAGATATCAAGAGGCTTATTGTTCAGCTGTAGAGAATGAAACAGAGACGTTCCTGGGTGAAAGACAACATAATACAACCAAGCAACAAGATTTGAGTAAAGAGTGTAAAAAAGTAATTTCACAGTGATAAGATGCTGAATACTCTTTGAAAAATAGTTCTCCTAACCTGTGTATTGCTTATTCTCTTTTAACTCAAACCACTTATTCTTTTTCTAGAGCAACCTAATAAAATATTACCACAATGAGCAGTACGCTACCTACCATATCTACACATCCTCATATTTATGGGTGATCAAAATACTGCACAACCTCAAACCTCAGAAAATGGAAATTTTCCAGTAAGAACGACTCTCAGAATTTTGGGAATCGCTATACTATACAGGAGGGTAGAGTCTGCAGGCATTGAACTGGGATGGACTAGCTTCAGGCTATGGTTCACTTCATCCCCTGCTGTTTCAAAAAAATCAGCAGAAGAAAGCAGAAGTAGTGAATCGGTAGAAATGGCAAGAAACAGCACAGTATTTTTGAAACAGCGATGATTATGTCAATGGTAAGTGGGATGGGTGAGTTACTCATTACCAATGGGTAACTGGGATATAAACGAGGAGATAGAAAGTTCAGTTTCAACATGGAGAAAGAATGCTGAAATAACAAAAACTACTAAAACCATTAAGGAACAGGAACAGCAAAGATACTTTAAAACATATTTACATACAGAGGAGTAGTTAAGACAGAAAAGGGAAAGAACAATATATCCCAGCCTCACTCTACAGTTACCTGCAAAACACTTTTTCAACCTATCCCCTCAGACACAAAATCACCAATAAAAACCCCAGACTTCACATTCACATTAATGCACAAATCAACTTCCCAGAAGCATTTAGGCCTCTCTCACTGAAGATAGGGTTTTCAAGGGTATATACATATAGAGAGATATATTTAGACATTGCAAGTTTTGTTTCTTCTATAATTAGGGTAGAGATGTTCTCATTCACCTGTTTATTGTCATTTTGTTTGCAGAGTCAAACCCTTGAGAACGAACCACTGTCATCCCCAATAGCGCTACTTCTGTGCAGACAGAATAGGCACTTAGAAGACAGGGCATTTGTGGTGTTGTTGCCTACGGTGTTAAATTGCCAGATATGATTTTTTTTTCTTTCCCCTCCTAGCTAACTTGCCTTAATACCTGCATTTCAGCCCTCAGCCATAGCAGCAGGGCCTCAACTATCGCTGTGCCTCTACAGAGATAACTGCAAAAGCCTGCTGTATAATCCGATCAGGACCAACTCTTGTAGAAACACTATCACATTGAACCATGACTTGAAACCTTGCATCATACCATCTTCCCTTCTACATAAGAAAAAAATACTCCTTTGAGCAAGTATGTTATACTAAAGCGCCACACAAACATCTTTAAAATGAAATAAAAGGAAATCCTTAGAAATCAATTTAGACATTTCTGACAGAAAATGATGAAGTAAATGCTAAAGAAACACATTCTGTACTCATGAAGGGAGATTTCCAGAGGTGAAATCTTCATTACAAGGTCTTCTACAAGTCCTTCTTTTTAACACATAATAAAACTTTTCACTACATACAGCAGAATGAAATTACAAGTTAACACCCACTCACCTCTGAAATGCAAGAAGAGCCTTTCTCTGCAAGACTTCTTGCATCCCTCGCAAAGATGCTGAAAAGGATATATTTAATCAGTGATATGCAGGATCAAGAGATTTCGTTCCATGTGCTCGTTGAAGAAGTTTTAATACATTGACTAAAAAAATGGTTGCACACAGAAGCTTTAAGTCTAGCATTCTGCTAGGTATCCTTTTTTAGGCAACATGGGAATTTCCAAACGTGAATGTTTATTCTTCTCTTACCATCAGTAGCCTGCAGACTGTAAGTCAATCCCAGTGCCAAGTAGCCTTTTGCTTTGAACTCTGATGTTTTGTCCCCAAGATCAACAACAGTTTTGGCAAATCTTTCAGCTTCTTCCAACTGAAAATATTATAAAACATCCATGTAAGTCTAAAACTAGCTAAAGCTTACTTTATAATGACAAGAATGCACAGCATGTGTACACTGAGTCTGTTGAAATCTCAGCCATGATTGCTTTTAAGGACTACTTTGTGTTTCATTAGACTTAGTTTTCCTGCTAAATACTGAGTAAAGAACACAAATTTAAGCTGAAGCACCCATTCCTATGGTTGAGAGAAACTAGCATATAACACACAGATCATTCTAAACTTACTGTGTTTTTGTCATTTTTGGTTTGGTTTGGTTTGGTTTTTCTTTTTTAATACAAAAGGCATTTCTGGTCCATATATGCCATCTACCATTTTTGCATTTCATAAATAGAGTTTTTGCCCCATGAATCAGTTCTTTAGGAAAATGATTTACAGTAACTATGGCTCCAACCCTGCAAAAAAATAGCATAGCCATGCAGAACTCTGAATCACATACAGTATTGCTGAATGTATGTGAATTCATAAATAAATACGTAAAAGGTCAGAGTTTAACTGCACACCCACGCTAGCGCACTATTTAACAATCCAGAAAGAAAAAAAAAATTTTAATCCATTCCAGTAAATGTAAATGCTAAGTACAGTGAGCTACTCCATATGGAGTCTATCCCCAGGGAACAATTTACAGAACTAGGATCTAATTATTAAGACTGTATTTTTGTCAGACTCGGCAAGTCATGTTTCTGCTACTGCACTATTTTCTCAATTTCTGATTGTGACATCTCCCTCCTCTTTTTCTCTTTTTTTAAATACAATCATTCTTCTAAAAATGACATGTGTATCTTGAAAACCACTCAATGTTCTTTGATCACCTTAATGTTTTTTGTACAGATTTTGTACACCAATTTCATGGTTATCTAAAATACAACTCCAGTAACATTTTTTTTAAAAAGCACTGTCCCTACTAGGAATTCATAAACCCCATCTACTTGCAAACATGGTATCACCAGAAAGGTCTCTTGAATATTTGCCTCATTATCTTCCAAAAAAGTTATTTTCCTCTTGCACAGAGGAAACAGAAGTCTAAGTTGCATTTTTAATCTCTGTATGCCAACGTTTCAATTTCTAATATATTTTTAGCTATGTCTTAGACCAGTATTAAGATATGCTACCTTGATAAACATAAACACTGCTGTCAGGTATTTTAAATTAGCCATGCAAACAGGGATGCACAGGTGCATATATGTATCTGTGCTGTATTTTCAGAGATAACCAAGTGCATGTAGTCACTGTGCAAAAGTATTTGCTACATCCCTAAACCAAAATTTAGTTGCATTTTAGCACAGTTCTTGCTGAAAAGACAACGAGCGGCAAAGCTTACCCAGTGGAGAGATCCCATACAGAGCTTTGCAGCAAGGAGTGGAATAGTTGCATCGTCTGGTTTCAAACGTATGCATTCCTTCAAAACTTTAACAGCTCGAGCAGACTGTTAAAAACATTTTCCATTGAAATTACTATAAGCATAAATATGTTTCACAGATTGAAGATTCCTATTTCCACCATTTACTTTATTTTTCCTATATGAAGGAGGCATTACTAAACATTTTGTTGACAATCTGCCACAACTCCTCATGCAAGTGAAGCACAAGACTTAAGGCACTGCTGTTGCTATTTAACCCCGATGAACTATCATTAAGTGTCTCCAGTGAAACATTTGCCCAGAATGTAATTCCAATGGTACACGATTCAGAAAACAGTCTTGCGATGTATTTAAAACTCTGATAGCCCTGTAAGCTCACAACATTTGAGCCAAGCAAATGAAAGAGCAGAAATAGGACAGAGTTTTCAGAACAAGCAGTGTTTTAGTGCTCTTTGGGAGTTACCACAGCACTTAGGAATAGCTCTAATACAAGACTGTAGAACAGAGTGGCACTGCTCCTCTTTTTTAAATTCATCCACCTCCATCCAATCACAGTTTAGAAGATAACTCTAAGTAAACAGAGAATGGGAAGAAGATTCAAGCCCCTTCAGAACCAATATGCTTCTAAAAATATTTTCTAAAGAAAATATAAATAATTCCTTTTCCTCATACTGAAGATAAGCAGATTACCCCCATTGAGAGTGATCTTTTAGAAAATAGGTATTGTTTACATTACATAATGACTGTGATTTATTTTCCGTAACATGACAAGGGAAAAGCAAAAAGAAACGAAAATAGAAGATTGCATCTGATAACATAAATTCCTACGTTTTATATATATATTTTTTTAAATCCCACTCATTTTATTAGTAGTATTAAAAAAGACAGTCAGAAATTCCCAAAGGAAAAAAAAAGCAATAGCATCATGAATCAGCATTACTTTGCACCTATGCATAAAATTTGTTCATCAAAACAACACTTAAACAAGGTCATTACTGGATAATATAATCTGGTATAATTCACTACTTATATTCAATTAGCTTAACTTAAGCTTGTTGGCAAGATAGTTCTTACCACCTTTCAGTCTTCCTAAATTAGAAACTGTTGGAATAACAACATTCTTTGTACAGCTTTAGGCATACATTAAGGAGTACAGTGTACTTAGATGATCTAAGGATTAGAATAATTTTCAAAACCACTAAAGATTAAAATTATCGAAGTGCCAAAAGCTGTTATCAAAAGCCATCAATACAAGAATTTCATGCAAAAATTAAGACTTACTTTTCCTGCTGCCATCAAGGACAACGCAAATTGATACCAGAGATGGAACTCTTCAAACGCAAACTTCATGGCTCTTTCTAAACACTAATGTTTGGGGGAGAAATTGTTATTTAAGGGCACATTCTTCTAATTAAGAAGATACACTAGTATAAAAATTTTCTTATAGGCTTACACCTAAAATACATGCAGTTAAAAATGGCACCACAAGTACTTATCAGTACCACTTAAGGCGGAGGGGAGGTTCACCTGACAGCATTAGTTCTATTTTTAAGAATTTTAACTTCACACTCAATATTCTGCCCAGATTTTCAACTTAATAACTGAATGCCAAAAGGAAATTAATTATTTACTATACTGAGATTAAGTATATTAAATTAGCATTATACTCTAATTTTGAAGGTTTCATATCTACTGTTGTCAATAAGAACGATTTCATTTTGCTATGCTCATTTTTACTAATCAGTCCAGCTCCAGAGAGTTGAAAGGTGTAGTACTTTTCTGGATTAAACTGATTTAGCAATTAACTTTCTAGTCTGCAGAGTCCAATTACATGAAGGAGCTTTTCTGCTCTGATAGCTGTAATGTATATGCTAAATTATAATACTATGAATTACTTTTCACATTGAAACTCGGCCTTAACATTACAGAAAGCACAGTGTGTTCCCACACTTTATCAGAACCTGAAGCAAAGAACAGCACTGAAGATGAAACAAAACAAATACAAGAAGTACATTATTTGCTACATATAAGTAATGTATGCTAAAATTTTCCTATTAAACAATGTCCAATATCAAGTCTATTGCTAAATATAATTTTTATTAAATTATTATAGAGGAATAAAGTTTTTATAAACAAATTCTTTCTAATACCATTGTTAAAAGTTCATCAGATTGTATGTGCAGCAAGTTAACTAAATGTCTATTAAGAAAACCAACACAGGATTTATTTTCCCATTGGACTTTCTTTCCATCAGTGGAAGCAAAAAGATAACAGCAAGAAACAAGTAAGTTATGTGTGATTTCTTCTCCTATTACTTTGGATACTTCACAGAGATGCCTAGGTAAGGCACACTCCTCTACAACTCTCCATGAGCCTGGCAGAAAACAGAAGTTTCTAAATCCTTCTTTCTCTCTCCACCCATCCGTACAACTATGGTGCTGAGCACCTCTAAATGGAGGAGAATGAATTCAGGCTTATCTTTTTCAAACACGCCTCACTCTACCTGTTTTGATATCAGTGTATTACATCTGATTTAAGTAATTTCAGCACTTCTTCCAGCACTCTGACCTACAGCAGCTGTATAATCCCCAACAAGAGGTGCACGGAAACCTCATACTTAAAGTCGAAGTAAGTTTATAACTTTTTAGGCTGCCTAATCATACTTCCTTCTCCTATTTTTACATATTCATATATGTATGCATGCGCATTAATTATATAGAGGTCCTCATTCACAATTAGAAAAACAAAAAACCTTATTTTCTAGGCCTTGCTTAATTAAAAATTAATTCCCAATTCTAACTGCCAGAAAATAAATAAATTGGACAAGTTGATACTTAGGTTTTTATAATTTTGTAATTATAGGGACACAGGACACAACTGTAGATTATTCTAAAAGGCTTGAGTTTCAACGTACTAATGATCTATTTACTGTTTTTTTTCCTTGACTGCAAGTTCTATTCATTCAGTATGAAATGTGACAAGTTACATAATTTTTTTCTTCGTAAGATCACAAAATTGGTGGTCAGCATGTGTGGGGGTAAGGGGTATATGTGCACATATGTATATGTATTTGATCTACACAAAAGCATGAACACCTCATAAACTGTGTTCTTCTGAACTAAGTAACAAAAAGTAATTTCAAGGAGCAACAGGCTCCATCAAGAAATGGATGAGAAATACATAGCAAGCAATGGTACCCTGGAAAACTGCAAGTTAAGATAATGTTCAAGATAATAGCAACTGACTTAACTAATTGAAAACACATTTAGGACAACCACTCTCCTGAAAGGCAGAAATGCAGCTGTTGATACTGCCTTGTAAATAAGCACAAGGCACTATATATGGACAGGTAATGTTGAACACATTACTGAATTTTGTTGCTTAACACTACAGTCTCCTCCTGAAAAGAACATGCTTGAAATTAGAGAGTTGAAAGATGAGTATCTAGGAAAACTTCTCGTCTGGAAAACATCTCTCATAGTAGGACATTGATAAGCTAAATATTTCATATCCTATGAAGCTTAAAAACCAACTTGATGACAGTCAGAGTACTTTTGTGTAGGAAAGAATTACGACAGTAGAAAGGTTTTTGATTTGTTGAATAAGCCATAAGAAATTGAAAGCCCAGAACTCCATAAAGAAATGAGACCTTTTCAATTAAGAACATGACTCAGCACTAGAATAGTTTAACAGGGATGAGACAGATTTTTGGTCATTTAATGTTCTTATATTACAGCTAAGTACTTCTGTAAGTAATCAGCTATAGCTAAACCAGAAGATAACAAGATGTTGGAATTGGTGGGTGCATACCATTTCCACAGTTAGAATAATGGTGCTTTCTGAACTTGAAGCTACAACAGCTCCACTAGAGCAATCTTAATTAGCTCACAGACAATGAAGCTGGCAAAAAATTACATGCCTATTACATAACTTTTTATGTATGTTAAATACATACATAATGTATGTATTTAACATACATTATGTATGTATTTACATAATGTAAATTATGTAATTTACATACATACTTTCTGTGAGACAGAAAGTTTTTACATTTCTGAATTTGTGTTTATTGTAATACTTAGTATTGTATACGGTATACTAAGTATTACAATATATAAGTATTTTTTTATATGTGTGTGTGTGTGTGTGTGTGCATACTAAGTTATACAAGTTTCAGACTATGGGCCGCAGGATTTCAGGGCAGGTATCCTCTAAGCGCTCACTAACCTAAGTGCTTCTTAAAGTCTATGTTTTTCCTTGTGCTTTGGATTACAAGAACTGGAACAATAGAGTTATTCTAACCATTTCCTGATAAGCTCCTGCTGCAGCTATCTCTCTAGAGTATCTATATGCTAAAATAAGTATTGTCTATTACATCAAGTTTTCATAAGATGATTTTTTTCATGTTCAGAATAGTTACTTCATGGATGTATAATAAAGATATTTTAATTATTCTGTATTGAAAAGTATTTTTCAAACATGTAAGAATTATTTTCTATTTTTCAAAGAGAAAATTTCAAAAGAATACACATAAAATTTTGATGGAATATAATTACAAAGATGCTAGACTCAAATTAAAAAAGAACAAGAAAAGACCTTAAAACAAGCTTTAGGTAGACTTCAGGTGTCAAAACCCAGGGCAGTGGCTAAAAACCTTCAGTTAAGAAGCCGGTGAAACATGGAGGCTCTTTAACTTTCCCAATACTCACGGTTCTGCTTTTGTCTGTAACAAAGATCACCATCAGCAACTTCTAAAAGGCGCTGAACTCCAAGATCTAAGTTGAGTTAAAACCTCTTCCATTAGTTAGAACATTCAACTGTGCTCAAAACACAACAGGAAAAGGACCAGGCAGTGGTACTCGTCTGCCAGCTACATGGGCTAAACCAGTCATGCAGTCAGTGAGGGAAGTAAGTTCTATGCTCTTCTCCATGTGAGGGGACTATAAGACTTTCCCCCTACCCTTCATGGTAATGTCCTAGACTTCAAGATACATGGCTAAGAACACAGATACCTCTAAGCTTTCTTGGTGAAGCCAAAAAACTTCTCTATTAACAAAGGCAAGAAAAACTGCAAACAAGAAGCTGCGCTTATTGTGACACAGATACTACCCAAAGTCTCCCAAAGGAGAGAGTGGAGGAACCCCAGGAACCATTGATGTTCCCATTAATGTAATGGCTGTTCAATTTTTAAAAAGACAAAAAAACACACACACAAAAAACCCCACCGCCACAAACCACCACAACAGCAGACAAAATAAAAGAATCTAAATTGGAACCCAGGGGTACACTACCCCTGCCTAGCTGCTAGGCTAGTATATAAAAAGGAAAGGTTTCCAGCTGCTTAAAGAAAAAAGAAATCAGAGTTACCTTTTCAAGTTTTTTGTTTTTGTTGGGGTTTTTTGTTTGTTTGTTTTTACAATACTTGTCAATGTCTATCCTTTAAGAGGTTCTAGGCTAAAATATAAGGAGACTCATTTCTTGCAGCTCTGGTGCAACCACATAAAACTTCATGAAGGTGATAGTGTCTGTACTGGCAAGTAAATGGAAATATTCCTGATCAAATTATGTTGTAGGGTGACAGCCCTATATGAGCTTTCATACTCCTTGGTTTTGTGAAAGACTTTCTATTGTACTAATTAAAACTGACTTGTATGCCCAACTTGCAGCTATGAAGTACTTTCAAGAAGAAGAATATCCAAATTCAGAGCTTAACATCACAAGAGATGCAGATTAAAGGGTGACTATCAACGTATACCAGAGAAGAACAGGGGCATTTTTTTTCATTTTTATCTTAATAAAAGTCTTCTATTATGGTAGAGAGAAACCATTTCTCAGCAAATCAGTCCCCGGATATGCCTTCCTACCACACATGCTGAAATATTCCTTCTGGATATCAGTAATTAATCATGCTCAGCAACAGTATCCTGCTGCTGGGTGAGCACTGTTTTGAGTAGCAGAAAGATCTGCTGTGCCCTAAGAGCTGTAGTTGTTTCTTAGGTATAAAACCATTAACAATACTTGAAACTTTCCTGAATTATGTCACCACAATCTAACAAAACATATGCAAGTTGCATCATCAAGCACAAGACATTTCAGACAGAGAATGCACTTTCCTACAGACCTGAGAAAGTAATACATTTCCGTTTTGCTAACTTCCAAGCCATTTTACAAACTACAAGGACCTTGGAGCACTCCAAATAATATGAGGTGTAAAAGAAAGTTTTATTTTGAAATAAAACACTACAAATCCTTTTTCTAGGTGTTTATATCTATCACTTCTATCCACAACAGCTTTTATCTTTTGCTGTTCCTCCCTGCTGTCTCCATTTAATGTGTGTACTTTTAAGCAGATCCATGCCTTCCTGCCTAAAAACCATGTGAGTTGTGTGATAAATGTAGAGTGGCACAGCCTTTCACATAATTTCTGTGCTTGGCCACCTCAAGCCACTTGTACAAATTTAGACACTAAACTTTTAGGGTGGAAACTACCTACTGTATTTATACAGCAGTCAGAATGACAGTGTCCTATACTTGTTTAGCCCACAAGTACTACCACAGGTAACATGATTCAGAAATAAGCAACGAAGACACAGTTGAATGTTCACTATTATCCACAAACCTCTGAGAGCATTTCATACTGGCCTCTTCTTCCCAAGGCTATAGTAAGTAAATCGTAGACTACAGATGCACTTTGCAAACTGATGATACGATCGTTTTTGTGTTCTGGTATTCTGCTCAGTACAGCATCACGGTTAGCCTGAAACATACCACGAAAAAAGAAACAGAAGTCATCCATTGTAATCCAACCTATATTTTTGCTCAAGTAACTACTGACAGTTCTATTCAGACTGACAGTCAGCAGTGATACAGAGGTGATACAGATAGTATTTGCTACTAATTTATAGATAGCAAGTATCACCAATTTTACACGTTAGTGGAAAGATTTATGTTTCTATACGGATCTATTTTTAATTACTTGCTTCCAATTACATGAATTAGGTAATGTATTTAAAATTATTGAAGAGTTCTCAGAAATCAAATAAGGTGTTTTTTTTCTTAGTATAACGTATATCCATCTTTTAGAATTTAATTTTATTTTTGTATGCAAGTAAAACATGTTAAGAATGATCTTCAAATCCTCTATTCCATCTTTTGTAAAATAAGGCTATCAATTTATTTCCTCTTTATAACAATATGAGACTATCCTCTCACTTTTTACTGATAACCTGCCCAGCATAACCAAACCATCACCTTCAGGAGTTACTAGTAAGAAGTGAAAACTGTCCTTGGTTCCAAGCACAGGTTTGGAATCAGGCCACGTCTGCAGTAAGGCTTTGTACTTTCAATCCTGTTACGTGAGAGGCACATAGCAAACCTAATTCCTTAATTAAACTCTTCCTTCCAAGAAGGAAGAAAGCTGAGCTAGAACTGGATTAAATGAATTGACCATGTTCACAGAGAAATCCTGTTAAAGAGCAAAGGATAAAATTCAGGTCTCCCAGTAGCTAATACTACCTATATTCAACTACCCAGTACTTTTCCCACTATACCATCAAGCCTCTGAAAATACCTTATCTTGATATCTTATCTATTGATGTTTAATATGCCCACTGGTACAAATGCTAATATATCTGATAGCTTGAAGTCAGAAGTTAAAGATCCTTCTCTTTCTTCCTTCCCCCGCCCCCCCCCCTTTTTATTTTTAATTACACAGAGCATGGCCCCCTCAACATATTTACTTAAATAGACTAATATTTAATGGGCAGCTTATTACCCCCTTTCTCAGAAGGGAGGAATGACACACATGAAGAGCTAATAAATTGTTTCTCTGCTTTAACAGGATAATATTTTAAGCTCTGAACACATTCGATACATCTTTAAAATCAGAAAAATTAAATACTGAAAGAAATTTTCAAAGAGATTCTTGGAGCGTAAAATGCACAGACATTTCAGGATTTATCAACTGAATAATCCACAGCTTGGTTTGAAAACACACACCCCCACACATGCATCCCAAAACAGACATTTTGCTTTCTTTTGATCAAGAAGCCTTTGGCTACACTGCATAAATATTTAGTCAGCTTCAAGAACTTCTTCCTTTTTAACTCCACATTTAATCATTGTTTGATTCAATTCCTTACAAGTACAGAACAAGCTATGAACAAGCACTTGTGACAAAATGGCTGGCAATGACAAAGCAGTATTACAGGAGATGATGCCTTGTAAGTATTAAAGATACTTTATATATTTGAACAATAGTTTTCTGCATAATTATAAACGAGAATGTACGTACAACCTTAAGTGCTCAGTGTTTCAGAACTGCCACGGTCTCAGACACAATAACGTGACAGTTAGTTAAGCTGCAATGTGTCAGCTGGCCACACTTAGCCTATACACACTTTAAGCCTGAGGCAAATGTGAGCAGTGTAGCTTAGTTCACCCACAGTGGAAGAAAGGATCTATTTTACCATCAACTAGGAATAACACATAAGGCTGAGCCCAGGAGGTGGTGATCAGTGGAACAAAGTCTAGTTGGAGGCCAGTAACTAGCAGTGTACTCCAGAGACTGATACTGGGCCTGATCCTGTTCAAAATCTTCATTAATGATCTGGATGATAGGGCAGAGTGTACCCTCAGCAAGTTTGCTTATGATATAGATCTAGGAAGAGGAACTGATACATCAAAGGGCTGTGCTGCCATCCAGGAGGACCTCAACAAGCTGGAGGAATGAGCTGATAGGAACCTCATCAAAGGCTTCAACAAAGACTTGGAAGTTCGAAGTCCTGTGCCTGGGAAGGAACAACCCCAGGCACCAGTATATGCTGGGAGCCACCCAGCTGGAAAGCAGCTTGGCAGAAAAGGAGCTGGGTGTCCTGTTGAACACCAAGTTGAACAGGAGCCAGCAATGTGCCCTTGCTGCAAAGAAGGCTAGTGGTATCCCAGGCTGCATGAGCAGGAGTACTGCCAGCAGGTTGAGGGAGGTGATCCTTCCCCTCTATTCAGCATTGGTGAGGCCACACCAAGAGTTTTGGGCGAGCTCAGAGTTCCCCAAGACAAGAGAGATACGGATCTACTGGCAACAGTCCAACAAACGACCACAGGGATGAATAAGGGACTGGAGTCGCTTATTTCCTCCTTCTGTGAGGAAAGGCTGAGAGAGCTGGGACTTTTCAGCCTGGAGAAGAGAAGGCTCAGAGGGGATCTGATCACTGTGTACAAATACTTGAAGGGAGGGTGCAAAGGAGAGGCAGCCAGGCTCTTTTCGGTGGTACACAGTGTCAGGACCAGAGGTAACGAGCACAGACAGAAACACAGGAGGTTCCCTCTGAACATCAGGAAACACTTTTTGACTGTGAGGGTGACTGAGCACTGGCACAGGTTGCCCACAGAGGTGGTGGAGTCTCCCTCCTTGGAGATACTCAAAAGGCATCTGCACACAGACACAGCCTGCTCCAGGTTGCCCTTCTTGAGCAGGAGGGCTTGGACCAGATGACCTCCAGAGGTCCCTTCCAATGTCAATCATTCTGTGATTCTGTTACTACGGCACAGCTGACATGCAGAAACATGTACACGCACTGTAACGTGAAGATGTCAGTCCTTCAGATTCCACCTTTCCACTCATCCCTGTCTAGATAAGGAAAGGCTGGTCTATACTTTGCAAGTGTAACAGTGAGAATACAAGGGCTTCTTACTACTTTAATAGCACAATACCATCTCAAAACACCAAAGATTACTGAATCTTCTGTAACTGTTACTATTTCTTTCCCAAACACTGGTTTCAAAAGCATAAATCACATACTACTTCATAACTACTACAGCTAGAAAGTTAGCATGCACTGAAGCTGAAGTAAGAGCCCTCAACTCTCAGAAAGATAAGTTTGTAGTGATGAATATTTTCATTGTAGTGATGAATATTTCAATCTTCCTCTTTCCCCCTGCAAAACTAATTTGAACAAATGGCTTAGCAAAAGTAAGTCAATCATGTGAAAGATTTTATACTCCCTGAAAAGAAACTCTTTTGCCTCGGATAACCTGCAATAATTACTTGTAAAGAAAAAAAATATTAAAAGTTTGCTAAGGGTATACGCTCTACAGCAACAAGCATTTGATACAATTAGGCAGATCTAATTCACAATGGAAAAGCTTTAAGTAACCTGAAAGGCGACTTAACAGAGCAGTACTTCAATTTGTTTTTTGGCTTCTTAATGCTGGTATGCAGGGAAGTACACATGTAAATACAGTAATCAGTAGTCATATCTTGCAGAACTGGGACTGCTTCCACTTCACACCATGACCACAGTTCACATCAGAATTCTGTGTATTGCCATGAGCTCCTCAGGCACCTTACAGAGGCACAGGCAGCCCCTTTCAGTGGTAAGTACATACCGCAGCAACACCAACAGATGATATACACAAATGTTTGCTCAGTCTAGTTTTCTGGTGACAGATTCTGTCATGAACATTGCAAGGCAGATCACTAGGAATGAGGAAAGTAGTTTGCCCTACAATGTAAGCATTTGCCACTTTAGTTCAAATAGCACAATGTTCACTGAAATGTTCTGATCCTATTTAACTGTATCAAAACAGAAATCATGCCAGAGCATGAAAGCATTTGAATCACCTATATAACTTAAAAAACCTAGGTCTCATTGATGTGCAGTGAAACAGACCACCATATGATGCCTGAGATTCTAGAGGTTCCACCCCTCCAATTAGAAAAACAGCAAAAATTCCAGCTTCAGCTTTTCATTTCTGCCATTTGAGCACATATAACTGACCTGGTATGAGAATGTCAGTATGTGGCAGTTGATAGATGACTATTAAAATCATACTCATAAAAGACACAAGAAGGCCATTGAAAGGAATCACCTACTGAGGAAATGAGGACATTAAAAAAAAATAAATCCAGTAGCAAAGGCTGAATGCCACTATCATTAAAAATTATTTACAAATTTGAGTGACAGCCAAGGTTTAATGCACAATGGAAAATACTTTTTGGCTATGTTAAAAGTAGCAATACTTTCCGGCATAATAATGCTCATAACCAAGTAGTCTTTGATTTGGTTTTTACAACAAAAATAACTTACATTTTGAGTCTGTCTGAATGGCAACCAGCTGGTGTAACAGTGGTTCATACTGATAAGTGATGCCAAATGAAAGACCTGGCTTTGTGTTCACCTGCCTATGGTTAGAAGGAGGCTAGGTTCAGCCACTCTAAAGGAGAAAAACTACTCATAACACTTGCAGACCTCATCTTGCTGGCTCAGAGGAACAGAAGCTTGAGTTTCAGAAGTAACTGCCTGCTTTCCTGACAGAGAATAAAACAAAAGTAATAAAGTAAGGCATGACAATAAAGTTCTATTTTCATTTTAAAAAAACAAGGAAACACACACATACAGCACACACACATTCACTCTATTTTACCTACCATAGATTCACTAATAAGCAGCAACAGTAAGGCTTCTTCTGTATTTTCTTGAGGACAAAAGATGCTGTTCAAAACAAGAATTTAATTATTTCAGCAGAAGACATTACTTTTAGGAATATCTTACACGAATATAGTAAGAGCACTGTAAAAACTGGAAAATTTCCAGAAAAGAGAACAGAGAGTAACTTGCATAGAAAAAATGATCAGTTAAAATGCATTTCTTTGCATTGCTCTAAATTTGCATTTCAGAAAAGCTGGCCAAACACAGTAAGAGAACAAAACCACCACAGCTGTCAGAGTTGAACACATTCAAATATTCCAAAATTGCACATAATTTGACAACTGTTAAAACTGTGCCCATAGTTTAACTAGCCTCTGGCACTTAATCTGTCCAAGCTGAATGTACATCATTGATTTACAGGTCGGCAACAGGAAACTCTCTCACAAGAACCAGAAAGCTTTTGTATTTCAGGCAGTATGTGGTTAAATACTTCTGTTAGTCTTTCATCGGATGTTGCTTAAGAATTGTTTTCCTGACGCATTCAATAGTGGTGAACATTTCTAAATAGAGCCATGGCAATCTCTGCTTCCTTGTCATAACTACTGTTACTTCCAAGCACTTTAAATAACTGTTTTTAATGAAGTCCACTTCCTTAGGACTTAATATTGAAGGTTTGCATAGGACTAGTTTGCAAACTTTAGTGCTTTCTCTGAACACTGGATGCTTTCTGAACACTCTTCTATGCTAGTGGACAGACAACAGTAATCTGCATTGGGTAAATGACTGGCAGGAATTCATTCATTCATTCATCTCTCTCTCATACACACACAGTGACTGTGTTTTAACTCTCCAGATTTCTTTCTCTAAACTGTTTCTGAATTAACACAAATACTATTTCCTGTTTTCAGACCAATACTTCCACAATTATCTGTACAAAATAATTCATATTTGTTAATAAGCAATTCCTACAGTCCCAAGGGTACTTAAACTACAATAAATTACAGATGGGAAACTAAACTTGTCTGACATTAAAACATCTTCTGGATTTTTTTAAATGCACTAGAAATTTAAGCAGCATTTAAATGCCTGAAAGGTAAGGGAAACTAGAACACATCTGAACTCCAGATGGTTTGAAAGCAAGGTTGTGAATGTGCTGTGGTAATATACAGCAGCTAAGACCCCAGGGCAGTTGTTTTGCTGTTGAATTTTTCTTTTTTAATCAATGCAAGCTGCTCACAAGACTTTGAAGAGTATTCTAAATCTTAGAAGACATTTTTATTTTTACTTAACAAAGAAATTTCAAAACTCATTAATAGGAAACACCCAGGACAGGGAATGAGGAGTGAAGAAGCATCAGAGAGCTCCCCATTAACCTGTCCAGTCTTCAATGCAGAATTTAGCAACCTGGAAGCAGATTTAACCAAAATGCCTGGCAATGGTTCCCAGAAAGCAAAATAACAATTGGAAATAGTTGGAGAAATTACTTTCTCAGAGAAAAAAGGGAAGTTGCCCCAAAGAGAACTATTAAGAAGTCACTTATCAAAATGAAAGCAAACGTTACTTTCTCCTACAACTTTGAATATATTTTGGTAAATAAGCTGCTATTTGTCTCAAAAAGTGAAGACCCTCTTAATGCAGAAATTACTGGGAAATTCCTCTGACTTGTGTATACAAAAAGCTCCATTTAGTTGACTGAACTCAGACATTTTCTGTGTCTCCTGACAGACATAGTCATAGGAGTAAAGTAATTCCAAGGTAAAAGGGCACGGCAAAAGAGGCAACTGGAAACATGAAATGGCTACCAACCAAAGGCAAACCAAAAAGTTTAACATTTCTTCAACTGAAGATAAATAAAAGCGAAGAGGCAGTAACAGAGAGATCTACAAAATCACACATGATGTTAGCCAAATCACATTCACCATCCTCAAAAGAACACAGTACACTTACTTAATATATCAGGCAGTATATTTAGAAAAAAGAACAGCACATCTCAGACTCAGAGTTGGTGGTCAGATGAATACCTAGGAAGAAGTTTCCTACATGTCTGTCTTGCTATTCATTGTCTTAGGTATTTGCCTTCAATCACTGCTGGAGATGAGATACTTGGCTAGACACTGTTTTATCTGATCTGCTGTTAATTGCTCTGATGTGACAAAAAGAAAAGGACTTAATTACATGCTGTGTTGAAATTGTGGAACTCTTGGTTTGCGTGTCCCAAGAACATGAAAATGACACAGAACAAAGCCCCACTTTTGCTACGAGGCCTGTTTCTACAAGAGGAGGAGTTGAGAATGAAGAACATTAAGTTTGAAAGACTGAGCCTGAGAAACCTGCTATAAGTATTCTGGATCAAGGAAGGAGAATTACTCGAAATCTTTGAAGGTAAAGGACATTCTACTTGCTAGCAGAATAATGACACCATAATTATGTGGGCTTGCTGCTGTATAAAGCATTCATTAATGGAAATCTGCAATAAATGCAGCTAAAAACCTCAAATGCCTGCAGTATGACAGTATTTTAGGTTACAATATAAATATATTATGCACACTAAAACAAAACATCTCTTCAGAATGTAAGGTAGGACTGCTTCTATAAGCAATCTACCATAGAAGCAGACTCTTGCACATAACAACAAGGTCACATTATGGAAAAAAGCTTTCATATTAACTAATAAGGGATATATACTGAAAGAGAGGAAAATGAGACTAAAGAGACTGCTCTTTGGATTTGATGTGTGAAACCAAGTAGTTTGAATGAGAGAATGTGTGACACTGCATAAAAGAGATTTCCTCATGTTCGGGCAATAAGTGCATACATTTTAAGTGCAGTGATCAAGGTGTACCCACAAACCAGGTATTTCCTTTTTACTAAAAAGGTTGCCTGCATGTACAGTTTGAATTATATACTTCAGAGAAACATAGTAGTTGTTTTGGCAAATTGAATGTTTAACTCTATGCTTGCATCTTTTCCTGTAGCTCAAAAGACTGTTTTTTAATGACTTCAGATCCTAGACATTGTCAGACAAGACTGAAATTAAAAAGCTCGTAACGCCTGAGTTTTAATCCTACAGCTGGATAACAATACTAATAAATTCATTGGAGAAAAAGGGTCAAAAATTTCATATGGAACAGACAACAGTCTCCTCAAAGGAGATTTTCAGATCACACCAATTTCACAGAATCACAGAATAGTTGAGGTTGGAAGGGGTGTCTGCAGATTGTTTAGTACAGCCCCTGCACTCAAAGCATCTCAGAACCATGTCCAGTTGGATTTTGAGTACCTCCAGTGATACTCTCCAGACTCCACAACCTCTTCTGTAAAATTTTTTCTTAAGTTTACATGGAATTTCAATCTTCTTCATCTGCATTACTTAGCACTGTCCTACTATGGCAAATCACAACCTTGGCTAGATCATTATCTCCACTACTACAATCTATTTCTCAGTTCTCTGGCTCACAGTGCTTTCCAGCATGTATCAAAACAAGCAAGCAACAGTTGTTGATTATATTAAATATATATATTTAAGAATATACAAGACCCCACATGGACTTGTGTGTAGAATACCAGTAGAGCAGTGCAAAGGCTGCAGATTACGTAAAACAAGCATGCAACAAAGTTTCATCAGACCAAACTTAGTAGCAATGAAATCAAAAATAAATTAAAAAAAGACAGTGCCACACAAGTAAGACTTCACTAGTATGCTTTGACACAAGCACATTACTTCCCAGCAGTAAGCTAACCCAAGGACTAAAGCGCAAAATTTTGTCGATATAGATTTTTGGCACTGTCAGAGTGTGTCTAGGGAAAACAACTTTACCTTAGAAACCATTTTTCATTTGATCAGATACAAACAACAATTTATTAACTTTTAAGAAAAAGTTCAAATTCAAGATAATGGCTATCCACTTTTACTTCTAATACTAATGGTGATGGGTTTTGAAAAAAACCCACACATTTTTAAGAAGAAAAAGATACACACTAAAGCTACGCTAGAACTAACCATGGGATACACCACACAAAAATGATCCATAGTATACTACTTATCTGAATCAGCAAGAGAATAAAACTCAAAAAAAAGGTGGCATCATAAAGAAATGCCAAAACTAACCCAAGAAGATTAAAAGGTAGTTGCCTTGGGAAATAAACTACCCTTGAAACTGCTAGATATGTTTTGTTTTTTTATAGTGTTTCAGGGATGAATTTGAATCGCCATATTGCTAACTCTTTCCTTTGTATGATAAAGCAGAATAGAGGTCTAGAAACAGCACATTACTTTTGAAATGTGCAGTCTCAGATTTGCCACCCAGTTCATGTTTTCTTTGTATCCAAGGAATAATATGAGATATTGACTCTACCATATACCCCAGTACAGAACAAAAAAAACAACAACCCAACTTTGAGAATTTAGAACAAAAGTTCTCATGCATACAGTGCAAACTTCTGCTTGGAGAAGCATATTTTTTCCCTAGTTCCCTTCAGGAAATATATAGACACACAGCATGTGAAGCATCCCCATTCACATTGTCCAACTCCTTCTATATTTTCAACAATATAAACTAAATTACGCAGTGCACTGGGTAACTATTGCAATTAGTTTCTATTCATTATAGAAACAAGAGAGGTATAAACTCAGCCATACTTTTCTCCAGTGTATACCCGCGGTCTTCTACTCAGCGCATAATTCTTAGTATTTGAACCTTTTCGAAGTGGATCGTCTAGGGGTGATTGGTGAGGAGGATCTTCCAGTGGATTCCAATAACTCTGTTCACACATGCCTCGTAACAAAATTTCAGCAAGTTGTCTTGCTATCGTCTGTAAAAGTGAAAGATAGAACAGACTATTAGTTGGAAGGGACCTACAACTATCATCTAGTCCAATTGCCTGACCAATTCAGGGCTGACCAGGTTAAAGCATGTTATTAAGGGCATTGTCCAAATGCTTCTTAGACACTGACAGACTTGAGGCATCAACCACCTCTCTAGGAAGCCCATTCCAGTGTTTGATCACCCCCTCGGTAAAGATAAATATTTTCCTTAGAAATGCTGAATATAAACTCTTCAAAAACACCTGGATTATTTCTAATGAAGACAAGTCATGTAGAATATATTTTCTGTTATTTTAAAACATCCAAAAAACCAGGCATACTGCTATTTGAAAGGTACAAGTACCCAGTTCAATTCTCTAAACGCAAAGAAAGAAAAAATGGCAATAACAAACAGTTTTTCAACTTTATCAGTTAAATCCAGATACTTCTGAAGTAACAACACCACCAACTGTTGCTTCTAAGAGTGGAGCACATTCAGATATGTTTTCAGATATTTTGTGCTCAATAACCTCTAATGCCTCTCCACACCTGAAGCAGATGTTTCTGCGGGAGAGACCACAATGGAGCAGGTATTTCCCTGCAGTCCGTGGAGAGGGCCACAGTGGAGCACATGTCCATACTACAGTCTGCTCAGAGGATGATGGTGGAGAAGGTTGATATTTCCTGAAGGAACTGCAGCCCATGGGAGGGACCCCACGCTGGAGTAGAGGAAAAGTATGAGGAGTAAGGAGCAGCAGAGAGGAACTGTTATGGACTCCCCACAACCCTCCACCCCTATGCACCAGTCTGTGAGTGGGAGGGAGGGAGAGGAGGTAGAAGAATCAGGAATGTAGGATTGAAGTTGAACTTGGGGAAAGGAGGTGGGTGGGAAGGTGTTTTAGTTTCTGTCTCTGTTTCTCACCATCCCACTCTCTTTTAACTGACAACAAATTAAGTTAATTTCCCCCAAGCGGAGTCTGTTTTGCCTGTGACAGTCACTAGTAAGCAAACTCCCTATCCTTACCTTGACCCACAAGTTCTTCTATCTTATTTTCTCCCCATCGTGTTAAGGAAGGGGAGTGAGAGAGCAGCTGGGTGCACATCTGGCAGCCAGCCAAGGTCAACCAACCACAGACAGTTAATAGTCCAAACCCCAACTGACTGGTGCTTATGACAACTTGTACTTGAAGGTGCTGGTGTTTGCTACTGTCAGTAAGGCTCAGCAAGAGTGAAATGAGGTTGTAGATCAGCATGAAAAAGTTTATTTTGGCCAACTATTCTTGGCACCATATATTTAGGTAAATAATATTAATTTAAAGTTTTTAAATCATCCTGTAATCCATAACTATCAGGTTACCATCCTCTGTAATGTTTAATACATCTATAGTCGTGCAGCTTGTATGCATATCACAATGATGAAAACACAGAGATTAGTACCATGGCAGTAGAAAGAAGGCAAGGTCTACATTTGCATGAGAATTGGCAGTATGTCCCAGCAACATTTCCCAGCAACAGATGTGTAATGTTTTAATTCCCACAGACAGCACGGATGTGAGTCTTTCACCTTAATTCCTATAAGGTAGAAGCCATAAGAAGCCCTTCACCTTTTAGTCTATTAAAGTTTGCAATATTATCGCTCTCCATTGAAAGTCTATTATTTAATAATTTTAATAGGCTTACTAGGAATCAGTTATTAAATTAATTAAGAAACCAATTACCTTCCTTATTACCACTTTGGAATTTTTAAAGGCCTTGTATTAGGTAACTAACCTAGGACATTTTGAAAATCACTACATTGGAGTAAAAGATATAAGCCTTGGCCCTTTATTACATAAAAGATGCCAAAAAGATACATCACTTTATGGTAAAGGTTTCTTTTCTGACAATATAAATAACAAATCTTCATGACTTTGCTTTTACTGTTTTCCTTTAAGAGACTTTATCACAAAAACAGAAAAATGATGACTTGATAACTTCCAACTTAATAGAACACACATGAAGATGCTGCACTCTGTCCTCACTCCCATTACATTACCAAAAGATGAGACAACACTCTTGTAAATGATAAGTCATCAATAGGGCAATTATGATTAAGGTTGAAAGTATGGTCAGTCAGAGACCAATCAGGTTTTAACCATAACCACAAATAGGAAAAAGAAATAGGGGAGAGACTGGGTATCAAACATTCCTTTTTATTTTAATCATTCACTTAAGCCAGGAATTGTAACCTTATAAAGTGGTGGTTAACAATAGATCCTGATCAATATGCTGTGTATCTGATTATTGGTCTCTAACTCATCCACTATATTTATGCTTTATCTGCCTACTAAAATTAAGACGCTGCAATAGGAATGTGGTTTAATATAACTTACCATTCGTAGATTTTGTGTAGTTCTTGTTTCGACAGCTCTTAGTAACTCTCTAAATCTACCAACTCCTCTCGTCAAGTTCCTGTATATAAACATAGAATTTGACAGTATTCCAACTTGGATGTAGTAACACCTTAATATATTACTCGACAAAGTTATTAAAATCCATCCTATCTTTTCTTTTTTCTCCATATCATCATCAACTTTCTGCGAGATAGATTTTTTTTTTCATTCACCTGGGAACCCCACCACTGATTACTATAGCAACATTCCCTGCTAGTTATTGAAAAAAGAATCATGACCAGTAGATAGCTCAAGAGAAAGCAAGGAAAAGTGTAAGAATTGATGACCCCAAAAAGGCTAAAATCAAAACTGAAGTTGTTCTCGCTACTACAATGGTTTTAATTTTCAATTACATTAGGCTTCAAAGCATAAACTTGGGGGGGGGGGAACAACACAAAACATTCCATTTTAGCTGCCTCTTGGTACCTTAAAATAGGGAAGTAAAGAGTAAATCTTGTAATCTTCAATGAAAGTAAAAATTTTACTTGTAAAATTTTAAACTCCTTTTCAGAGAGGAAAAAGCACAACCACAAGCAAGGCCTCCTGTGTGGCCAGAAGAGGACTGGGGAGTCAGTGTTCTGTTCTTGACTCCAGCTGGCTTTTGGTGTGGCTTCTGCAACTCAAATTTCTTTGTCTATGCTTCTACTTCTGCTGCCCAAACAGCTTTTGCAAAGAGATTCAAGACCCTCAGAGAGGGTTCACACTAGCCATTTTAGCAGATCGGTCTTATTTTGAACGGTCTTACAGCTTTATCTTTTTCTGATCACTGTATCAGTTATCTCAGCTATCTGTTTTTTTATTGCACTTAGAAGTTGAGATTATTTTATTTTATATTAATATAGTTTGTCTTTGAACTGGTGAAGGGCTGGGTGGGCTTTTTGCTTAGCTGAACAACTGAATTCTGCAACATCAACACATAACAAAGGACAGTCATTTCACTATTTGAAGTTTAGTTGCAAAACAAAATTATTTGATCAAATGCGTGTTTTGTCTCAAGTCATTGCTGTTATGTCACATGGCTGTATTATCTTAAGTTGTGATTTTATGTGCAAGTTGCATAACATTTACCTAACACAGACTCAAAAGAGAAAAGAAATATTACATATTGTGTAAGCTTTTCATAAGGACAAGCACTATTGCACTGCACTATAAAGCTGATGTTGAAATTGCCTTCCTTACTCCGATGTCTTTATTTACAAATATATTTAAAACAGTGATCTTCTCAATTTTAACTCTGTACAAATTCAAAAAAAGCCAAAAGCCAGGATTTTTACACAGATGCTTTCTTTAAATTTAGTTGCAGAATACCTGAAACCACAGTGTTTGATGCAAGAAATCTTGCTATAGAACTGTAGAACTTACCAGTTTACCTAGAGACCTATTCATTTATTTTACTCTTCAGATTACATGACAGAGGTCATCTCTGTTCTGTTTTATTTAAAAAAGGATTATCAGCATATTTCAGAAACTTTAGTCTCCAGCAGAGACAGACATCTTTCACTAGCATAATTTCACTGTCTAAAATACTTTTATATAAAAGATCATTTAAAAAGAACTACCATTTCCAAATAACAAAACCTGTATGAACAGGTTGAAAGTTATGTCAAAGCAAGACACCAGCTGGTTAAAAAGAAAGAATTTTCTTTAATATGTACTAACTAGTCACTCTGTGCTCAAGCTCTGCTTTGACCACAGAGTGACTAGTTAGTACATATTAAAGAAAATTAATCTTGTGTATACATCTAACATGGAAAAAAATGTCATGAAAGATTATATTTATTTATATATTTCACACAGACAGGCCTCTTAATAGCTAATGAATATTACACCAACTTCATACACTAATGAAATAAGTACCAAAAGTCAGTAGGCCAAATTTTAAGAAAACCTCTGAACTTAATGGAAGCTGGCTGCCTTCAGCACCTTTGGAAAGCCAAAATACATACCATTCAGTAATACCACTTGCCACACATTTTAGAGAGCCAAAACCAGACCACTGGAATCCCAACTTTAAGTCCTCTGCTCCAAGTGCCTATTTCCCATGAATGGAGCTTTCTCTCAAGGACTGTATTGCAAAGTCACAGGTGTGTCCTCATAACAAGATTTAAAAAAACAGACTTGCCAAAAAACTGAACTGTTCCCTGCAAAATTGTCAAAAAAGAGCAAGAACTTGTCAGCTTGAAATACTAATTTCCTAGTACAGATGAAACATATACCATGTAGTAGAACTTCAAATCACAGTAATTCAAATTTTTATGAAATTTCAGGAATTAGCATTTTTTTTCATATGAAGTTTACATCTTTTAATGTGTAACAAGAACAAAAAAACCCCGCAACTTTTAAAAGAAAAAGAACTTCATGACAGGTTGTTATTAGTAACCTATTGTATTTTTATAAGCATCTGCAAGAGACTGAAACTTGTGACTGAAGTTCTATTGTATCATGGAAAAAGCAGTAAGATTGTACAAGAAAACAACCCAAAAACTTAAATACTGAATTAGTTTTTGCTTCGTAAAGCATTTAACACTGATCCACTGCACAAGTGAACACAAACACAATACAGATTTGTCAAGCATCTTCCACATGAAGTATACTAAACAAAAAATACACTTCCGAACTACAATCTAAATCACCCAAAAATTAAGTTAAATGCTTTGAGACACAAGTAATGAAGCAAAATATACCATGAACAATATGGCAGATCGCCTCACTGCACTGCTTTTAGCCAAGTACATTTCCTGTATTTGTTAACAGTTTGTGACATTGGGGAGAAGAGGGTGGCAGCTATTCTGGCACATACTTTTCCTGCCTTGCCTAGGAAGCACACTAATTTTACCTGCTTTTCACTACGACGTGCCTTCACGTTAGCAGTTCCGCCCGTGCTGATGGAACGCCAGAGCAAAAGGGCAGGTTAACTTAGAAAACAATGTCCACAGTGTCTGTAAACGACTTTGAGATCCTTTCCGTTCTCAAGACAAGGAATTTTAAGGTACATCAACATGAACTCAGAGCTGACATATTTTCAGTAATTTCAGATGAGACAATGACAGCCCACCAATAGACACTGCCAGTTTCATGTGTGTGTTTATATGACTGCCTCCTATCAGAACATGCTCAAGTCAAGCCCCTTGAATTGCATCTTCCTAGTTTTTAAAGACTAATTAAGATGAGTGCTGCTTTAAATCTTCAAGAAAAAAACAAAAACTACTTGGACTCTTTAAATAGCACTATACCAGTTAAAGACTGAGACCCAGGATTTAAAGGCACAATCTGCTACTGAAAGTCTATACAGATTGACGCCTTCGGGCTAATTTGCATCCTTTTGTCTACATATTTGCACCCTAAACCCCAACAATTTCTGTTAGAATCTAGGCAATTATTCTGATGCAAGATCAATTTTTACACTCCTTTGAAAACTTCAGGCAGCATTTCTGTTTAGAATAATGAAAATATTTTAACTGTATCTATGCAAAGGTATTCATTCCTAAACAGCGAGAGATCGATAACTGCAGATATGATACAAGGAAAGTACCAGAAGAAAATGAAGGGGCAGCAAGGACAGACTTTCAATGCAGGATCAGAAGACCTGAATATAAGCATGTAGACCAGCAGTAGCAAACTTTTGGTGCAAACATACTTGTCACCATCACCACCAAGTCGTCTCTTAATTTTAAAAAAGGATGTTTGGCATCAGACAACGCAGTCCTTTGGCATTAGTGGTCCAGATAAACCTCACACCCCAGAAAAATACTTCTTATCTTTGTGTTTTTAAACATACACACAAAGTAGGAAAGAATGAAAGAAACCGCTCAATGAGACACAGTCTATATTTGAAAGGTGTTAGGATAAAAAAACCAAACGCTATTCCTTATAACAAAGGGAGTGAGAGCTAATCACAATATTCTCAAAACAGGCTACAAAGGAAATGTTTTAAATTTAACCTCAGAAAGGTTGATAACATTAATTTAGTTTGTATTTACAGCATATTTTGATAATATCTTCACCATTAGTGTGAAAAAAGCTTTGTTTGTCAGGCATTTCCCTTTACTTGTCCATTAAAAACCCCAAATATTTAGTCTAACACTGCCTTTTATAGATTAAACACGGAATTAGAATAAATTTTTTGTTAGTGAGCTCAGACTAAACCTCACTTGCTCTACAATTTGGTGGCTAAATTGTCAGTACTTCTCCCGTTTAAGAGAGATATCCAGAGCCATGCCAGTGAACAGGCTAATTTACTTATACTAGTCTATTACCTCATTGTTGAGGCTTATGATATCTCATTTTAAATATATTCATATTTTAAAAGGAGAACCAAGAACAATGAGATCTAGATTGTTTGATCAAAGTGATGAAACAGAAATTGATTTTGGAATTGAGCCCTCTTCCCAAATGCGTGTTCTCTCTCCTCTCTCTATTTATATACAGAAAAAAATTGCAATGTGTAAACTCAATGGTACAGTGTAAGTTTTAAAGTTTGGGTTTGTCTCACAAGAATTCAAATAGCAAAGAAAGGTATTCGTTTTAAAGGGAAGGAGTAAGGGCAGGCGCAACTCTTGATATGTATGCCAATCAGAACAGCGGTGTTTCAGTAACTTTGGTATGACTGATGTTTACAAAAAACCCCTCCAATTATTTAAATCCATACACTCTAGCTAATAACTTTAGACCAATTAAGAGTAATTTACACAGTATTAGGGCTAGAAATTATTTTACATTGAATCAAGTTACTATTTAAGCAAAAAATCAAGAAATGTGACAAATCAAGAGATGAACTCTTTAGCAGTAAGAGAACATCATCCTAATAGAGAGACGTGCCATTTACCATAGTAGAGCAATTGCATTATATAACCCTACAAAAATGAATTTTAAAAAAAATAAATTAAGGAGGACTGAAATTCTATGACTTTCTGCAATAACTTTATTATAGGTCTGACCAAGTGTACAGTGCTAAGTCTTCTGCAAAACTGATGATGCTTCAGATGGTTGTGACTGTCACAATGTCTTTGTCTGTTTTGC